TGACGGCAGCTCACGGCAGCTGCCGGCCAGCCCCACTGCAGCCTACGCTGTCGCCAATGACTCACGGCAGCCCAGCTCCAGGTCGAACTGTTGTTCACCATCTTAGCTGTAGAGGGTGCAGTGTCACTGGCCCTCATGTGGGATCTGAACCGGGGCCCTGATGCTCAGAGCTGGCGTCCCAAGCCAACTCGTAACCAATGTGCCACTCAGCCAGCCCCAGGTTAGATATTTTTAAATGCCCTATTTGGTGAAAGTAAAATGTATTTCCAGAATTTTAAATAAGGTTGTTTGAAATATTACAAATTATGGTTTCATAAAAAGGCATATCTGCTTTCTTCAAAATTGGGTTAAAAAACTAGGCTAAAATGCCCAATAGCAAGATGGAACTTCTCCAACCTAAACTGGTTGACTTTTCAGCCTGAAATATTCTTCTGTAGCCCAGTAATTTCAGGCAGTGGTAAAGGAAAAGGAGCATGTGATGATATTAAAAGCAAAATGCCACCAACTTACTGAAAGCAATTGGGTCCAAAGACAGTGGCAAGATTGTGGACAGTCATGCGATTCTGCACATGGTGCTTGGCTACTTTTGTCAAGAACTGGCACAGGTACTTGAGGAGGCCATAGTGGGTATCTGGCAGCTCTTTTATTAGGTCTCTTAAGCTACTTTCCTGAGCATCATTTTTGTCATCTGAAAAGAAACAGAAGAAAAAATGTTCTCAGTCATATTTCACAGTAACAGTAACAAAAGCACACAGGTATATTAAATTCTAACATTTTATTCAGAAAAAAGAAATTTCCTAAAGACAGGTAGGCTATCAAAAAAGAGGCATTTTCCAGGAGGCCAAAGGCCTTCATCCCATCCTTGGTGGAGAGAAGCTGCAGTAAAACAGCGGAAATGCTGCCAAAGAAATGCAAATAGGATGTTAAGCACTTAGAGGGGAAGACTCTGAGGGGCGACTTCCCCCACTGTATTCAGTCAACAAGCTGAAGTGAACCAGGAAAGAAAATTACAAATATGTGCCAGGATCATTAATTTGTTATATCTTTTTTTTCCTGTCTCTTTCTTCTCAAGGCCTGTGTTACAAATAAGAAATTGATAAGCACTTACTGATTTCTATTTTTAAAGCTTTTTTAAAGTACAAGAAAAAAAAAATAAAGTGGCATATATGTGTAGCCACTACCCAGAATTAGTAAATATTAACTTTTTACAAAAAAAAGGCATTTTGGTCTTTTCTTTGCTCCTTAAGCATTCAATTTTTTTTAATGTTAAAGAATTCCTGACTTATTCAAGATATCCTGAAAACCACGAGCTTTAGTCACTGTATAAAATGGGCTCAATTGTGTTTTTTGCCCGAAATTGACAATGGTTGGGTTTTTATCCACAGTAGACTCTTCCATTTGATTTCTGTGTTTGAGTTTGTTACTTCTTACATGTAAGTCACCAAAGGTTTACTCTGCAGATAGGAGTAAAAAGAACAAATACAGCTTTGTTCTTTTGAGTTTGTTAAAAACAAGAATCTCTTATTTAAATAAAATTTGATACAAGAGACCTGCCTGAGTCACCATGAGTGACACTGAACTTAGTGATTAGGAATCTGGGCACAAAGAAAACTAAAGGTTTAATTTCTATGTTGCCTTTTAATTTCTCACATGTCACAGAGTTTAGAAATTGATACATGCCTCTCATACAAAATCCTAATAACCTTGTATACAGCCAAAAATATCTAACAATGTTTCAAAATTCACAGACATATGAAAAGGTTCTCCTTATTTCTCAAAGATTGGTTTGTTTTGTCAATATTTAAACACAATAAGTTGCTATCGTAAGTAATTTTGTACAATGCTTTCTATTAGAGAAAAATTCAAATCTTTTTTAGCAACTACTTTAGGAGAATAATCATCCTTTAGACAGATGTCAAAGAGAATGAAAACTTAATCCAGTTACAAATAATACACAGCAGCTTCTTTAATTTTAGATAGGTCAGCAGCTTTGGCCAGTCAAGTGAATAAGAAACACAAAAGTGAGGCAAATGAGATGCAACAGAAGATTAGTCAGCATTACAAAATACATGCCTGACATGCTGCAGGAACTGAAAACGGAGAAAACACAGAACATCACATCAAGTGCCACCAAGTAGCTGCAGAGCACAAGATGAGAACCCAGGCTCAGGAGCCACTTCCTGGGTAAGGATCCTGGCTCTGGACCTACTACAGTAGTCCCTCCTGACACTCCATTTCACTTTCCCCAATTTCAGTTACCTGAGTTCAACCGTGGTCCCAAAATATTAGATGGAAAATTCCAGAAATAAACAATTCATAAGTTTTAAATTGCGCGCTTGTCTGAG